AGAATTTCAACGTGAGACTAGTTGCACAAAGACAGGAAGACATGCAGTCTTGTTCGCTACAGACGATGGGGCTTTTTAGGGAACTGAGTTTAGTGCAGCGTTAGCTTAATCTCCATAACATTGGTCGCCTGCCAGCTTCCACACTTAGCAAACTAGCACCGCGCTGAATAGAGCCCCACCTCCTGAATCGCCAAGCGTCTGCAGCGTACAAAACTGCATATGGTTGTGGTACAGTAGCATGGTTGCTTCGCATCCGCGCGCATCTGAACCCGATCGTCTCCGGCAACATTGTCTTAGTGACAGAATACGCGGCTCCTGAATCTTTTTTTGCTTTTCAGGTACTTGATGTAGATAAACTAGCGATTTCTAGTGTGAATCTTAATGGACAAGATATCCAATTCACCGTTGAACCAGGCACTCCTATCGGAGAGAAAATAGTGATCAAGTCGCCTATAAGCGAGGGCCAAGAAGTGTGAGACTTCGAATCTCAATCTTTGTTTCGTAAATGAATTATAGTCAGGTGTTTTATTTAGAAAACTCGCGATAACTTACTCGACAGCTAAAGAGGCCGTAGCTCTTCAATTTATGGACAAGGAGATGACTGCTGATAAGAAGGTATGATTGGTTCTACCAAGCGGTACTTCTCTCTGGTGATCTAATGCTTTCAATAGCAATGGCGAGCATAATCAACGCGTGAGCGGGGCAACACCTTTCCTTGGCGGGTATGCAACGCTACTTTCGCGATGCGGCTAACGAGGCATTGCAAACGGGAGCCGATCTCGACTCTCTCTCTCTCTCTCTCTCTCTCTCTCTCTCTGTATGTGTTTTTCAACGTCAACTAGATAAGAAGTGTTTTGCAACTCTGCCGCAACTCGCTAGTTCGGAAGTAACACTTCACATCCCTCCTTGGGGCCTCCCTCCGACGATGTGTTGAAATAAGCAGTAGAAGACAGCTATCAAACATCGACCGGAAAAAGGACAGTCGTTCAAACAATTGAGATTATACGCTTCGTATCCGACGATGGAGTGGGCGCTGTCGCGTACTTCACCCATTGTTGCGGCGATTGTGCTATGGGTGGGATATCAATGTTTGGAGACAACTGTAATCTTCTACTGCTCAGCACGAAAAACGATGACAATGATGACAGTCGTAGTGACTTTTCATGAATGGAAATATTCGTCTAAGAACTGTCGTCACGTCACGTTCAACTGTAGTAGCGGGTGTTGCGCGACAAAGGGACAATAACGATTTTTCAGTAGGGCGCAAGTGGCTCACAAAAGAATTTAGGCGTGAGGTTGAATGCATTGCGATAGTCGGCTGCGGACTCACACCATATTCGACGCGCTCTACCTGAAAACAGAGGTAATTCGACCTCCTGAACACGAACATCACACCCACTTGGCCTGACCTAGGGTATTTTGGCGCTGGCGCTGAAATACCCTAGGTCACTAAATCCGCTGAAAACTTGTATACGAAGACCATTTAACATCTTGATTGCATATATCACATTCATTTTTGGCGCTGGCGCTGATGGAAGACGCTGCGATTATCTGCGCTCTGGCTGGCCTGATCTAAAGGAAAACACCTTTCTCACAGGCTCAGCTTTAGAAAAGCGCTGAATGGCGCTGGTGTCAGGGAGTAGATGTCATATTCGTGATCAGGGCATCAAACAACCCCATTATGCACGTTTTTACCAATTTTGGATAAAAAAGGTGTGGCGCCAATCAGCGCCTAATGGCGCCAAATGGCGTCAGGGAGGAAAACTAATTCGGTATTCGTGATCAGGACATCAAATAACCATACATGCAAATTTACACCGAATTTGGTGGGAAAGGTGGCGGCGCCAAACTGGCGCCAATTCGGCGCCAGCGCCCAAAACGAGTGCTATATTCGTGATTAGGACACCGAACTATCTCTGTGGGCGAGGTTTCACCAAAAAAAATTTTGACTTTTTGGGGTAGTAATAGTTGAATAGTGCCATTTTTATGGTTTTCGCGTTTCCAGCAACAATAGTTGAGCCTGATTTTTTTTTCAACTTCACCGCATTCGAACTTCTGGTTACAAGGACGATTGGTGCTCTGATTACCAGTGGAATAGGATTAGACTATAGCATAGGAAAAAATCATGGAAACCTTAGTTTCGGAACAGAACGAAAACTGTCATTCTTCCTCTCAGCTTAA